AGGCTAATATGTATGAAGTGGAAATCGGCAAAGTCGAGGGCCGGAAGTCTTTTCTGAGGACCGGCATAGGCGCTGCCTTTGTCCGTGAGTACCGTAAGGAAGTCGTCAAGGCTTTCTGTAATTCTCCTGAGTTCCTCGACAAGCTCTGCCCCGCGGCTCTTCAATACTTCAACTATGCTTTTGATGCTTGGGAGGCCGCGGTCGCGGGTTCTGAATTTGCCGGTCGAGTCGACCGGAAGGCCTTGAAGCTTACACTTCCTGACCCTGACGGCTATAAGGGTGATCCGTCTCTTCCAGACGACTACCCCTGGTGGACCGGTCTCGAGGCAAAGGTCATCCGGGAATCCAAGTTCACCTATCAATTGGATGCTCCTGTGTCCTCCCCGGTCCAACCTGTCGAACCGAAGGATGGTGACCAAGTCGTGACCATCCTCGAAGAGAGTGATGAAGATGTTATTCCGTAGTTGTATTTTCGAGGCTTCCTGCCTTGTAGTTTGTTTATTTTGGTTCCGATCAACCTAATTTTCCGATCTGTAAAGGTTGAGACGACTCTTGTAATGAAAATTTTTTTATATTACTCGTTTCATTTGGTTCATGTCGTTATGTTCCTGCAACGTTCATGTATTCTTCGGGTTTTTTACTTATAATTGCGCAACTGTGGGTTTTGTCGACATCTCCTTAGCTTACATATTTTGTAGTTAGTGCTTTTGCAGCCTGCAATGGATTATACGAGATTTGTCGTTTTATAATCACAGGTTTTTCTAGTTTCGCCGAAGTTTTACTCGAGGCGTGCAACTTTTGTTGCTTGAGTCGACTTTTATAGTCGCGGGCTTTTTAGCCTTGCCGAGATTTTACTCGGGGAGTGCAACTTTTTGTTGCTTGAGTCGACTTTTATAGTCGCGGGCTTTTTAGCCTTGCCGAGATTTTACTCGGGGGGTGCAACTTTTGTTGCTTGAGTCGACTTTTATAGTCGCGGGCTTTTTAGCCTTGCCGCGATTTTACTCGGGGAGTGTAACTTTTGTTGCTTGAGTCGACTTTTATAGTCGCGGTTAATTGGCGATATAATTCTGCAAATTCAGTGTATCCAACAATTATGTAGTAAATAAATATATAAACATCTCTGAAGAGAATATTCAGAATTCATTTCATCACTGAATATGATTTGATCGCGGTTCAGTACAAGAGGGAAATTTGAGAATACTAAGCAAAAAAGCGCTTGAGATGGGTAATATGCCAAGATCGCGGCAATTGTCGTCCTTCCATATCTTCGAGTTCATATGCGCCTCTCTCGAGCACCCTGGTGACTGTGTATGGTCCTTCCCAGTTGGCTTCAAGCTTCCCAACGTGTTTTAGGGCATCTGCTCGTTTGAGGACGAGATTTCCGACCTGAAATCGTCTGGTACGGACTTTTCTATCGAAGGCGGCACGCATCTTCTGCTTATATTCCGTGGATCGCACCCATGCCTCATCTCGTCCTTCTTCTATCATGTCGAGGGCCTCTTCGACCATTTTTGCATTCTTCCCTTCCTCGTAAAATGTTGATCGGTGCGAATTTAAGCCGACTTCGATAGGCAGAAGTGCATCCATTCCGTAAACCATGTGAAATGGGGACTGGCCCGTTGAGCTTCTTGGAGTCGTTCTATAAGCCCATAGGACTGTTGTCAACTCGTCGACCCAAGCCCCTGATGCTCTCTCCAACCTCTTCTTCAATCCTTGGAGAATCGTTCGATTAGTCACTTCGACCTGT